TAAAAGATACAAGGTAAGCCTTAGTTTTCTCCACATCTACTCTATTCACACAGTCACGGTATTTGTAATAAACTCCCATATAATTTCTAACGTGAGTTGGTATCCACAATGTAGTATCATGATGAACCAACCTGCCACAGGCAGACAGTCCTGATTTTGATGTGACATTGTTTTTGTTGATCTGTGGCTCTAGAGGCACTCAGTGTTCTCCAGCAGCTCAAATATACTGGAGACTGGAAGAGTGACCCATTTTCTGGGCAGATGTTGTTAGCACGCAACAACACGTGTTGTTGTGCACCAGCTCAACAGTGGGATAAAGTTAAGTCTTCCAGACAACCATGGCTGTGACTTTGCATGAGTTTCTGTAGCCTGAGTGCCAGCTTAAACAGATCCTATCCCTTTCCTCATCCAGCTGTTCTGTTATTTTGGCAGCTACTCAAAATGTCTTGGAATAATTGCAAATGAGTAATAATTTTTCATTTAGCTTGTATGCAGCCCTGGCATCAGTTATCATTTGCATGCTGTAATATACACATAGCCATACGTTCTGTACATCTGAATAACAAACTTCAGGAGTAGGGGGACAGAGGTGGAGTCCAATTTGTTGTTATTGTTACTAATGTAGTTCTCATGGTTTTAAAATCAACTTTGTTAGCAGAAAATGATGTAAAAATAAATAGGCGGGTTCTGTTGGCAAGTAGGTGGCCAGTAGACAGAACTGAAAACTGAAAAATCAAAAATCCTGTTGTAGGAACCAAACTACCTGGAAGTGCCTGAGCTATGCTTTTCTGCTCAGTCCAGGCTGTCCCATAAATGCTAAGCATCTCAAAGGTCATCCAAATAAAAAGTAAATGCAAACAGAGGCTACTTTCTCCCACACAGCAGATCTCCAGCCTGTTCAAGATACAATGGTGAAAGCTTGCCTGTTTTGACTATTAGTCAGACTTAACTGGCATTTGGGAAAGCTATGAACAGCAGTCTGGAGGCTCTTTGCAGGTGACCTGGGGTGGGACACAACATCTGTCATGCTTCCAGAAATATGAGGCCCTCTTTAAAGCCACTCTTAAAGCCTTTTTTGGCTAGAAACTCATAACAAGATGTACAGCGAGGAATGATTTTCTGACAAAAATACCAGTACTGTGCTGCCTCCCCAGAACAGCAGTTTGGCTTTTCATTTGGTAGCAGTCTTCCAGGCAGTGAGGTTTATCCAGTTTTTCCTGGAAAACTTTTAGTAGCTTAATTGATATGATTAATATTAAAACTCAACCAACCAATCAAAAAAACCCTCACCAAAATAATGAAGTGGGAGTGCTGAGTCTGTTCTTATTCAGCCACCTCCTCTTCACATCTGGGAAGGGCAATGAGTTCTCTGTTGCTGGATGCATGATTTCCTGTCATTGTCACAGCTCCTTTTTCAATTTTCTCACATTACTGAGGCCTTAATGCAAGTTGAGAAGAAAGGTAAGAACAGGATTGAAATATCCTACTTTATTCCCTAACAAAACACCACCTCCTTCTCTTTGACTGCTCCAGCCTGCATGAGTTGCTAAGATACAGCCATAGATAGGATGAACAATAAATTCCTGCAGAATTTGAATGGCCTGAATTACCTGTAATGCTGACAGCTTGGCTCCCTGCCAGCAATAGCTGTGACATGGAAGCGTAGGAAGGCAAGACTGGTGTTTTGTGTTTGCTGCTGTGAAAACCTGACAAGTGGGGATTCCTTGATCTGTCCTGCACCCTACGGAAGGGTCCCTGTAATCTGGCAGTGACCAGAGTGTAAGCTGGGCAGGCAGGGAGGTTGTAGTCAGGACTGAGGTGTGTTAGCAGGGCAGCATTGGATACTGTACTCTGCCATGCTTCCTAGACATGGCACAGTTAGTTTAGCTGCAAAGGAAAGACATTTCCTTCCAACTAGGACACACAGTTATTTTGTCTTGGACACTTGGAGACAACCTTTCAGACTAGGAATCCATAAACCACAAAAGACTCATGTTAAAAGAATCTGGCCAAAGATGCTACATTCATGACTGTTTGTTTTTTCTTTTTCCTCCTACAAAACGAAAGCAAACTAATTCCTTTGCTATAAACAATAGTAGATAAAAGATAACTTTTTTCAGCTCAAGACTACAAGAAATATTAATTGATACAAACCTCGTATTTGTTCCAAAATTTACCATACAAATGTTCTCTACAAAGCCAAATATTAATATAAAATTTTTGTGACATAATGAAAAAACCCATCCAAATCTAAGGGGAAACAAGTAAGTAGGCATATACAGCTCACATATGTTTGCTTAAACATACTTTACATATTCAAATACAGTAGTTACTTTCTGGATGACGGCTCTCAATATAAAATTAATCTGTCAGTTTTTCAGACTTGGCAGGGTAAAAGGCTTTCTTGCTGTGTTCTGAGTAGGGGAAAAGCATCACTTCGGTGGTAAAGAGCTAAATAACCACAGTTAATGGAGGGAAAGTGTAGGAAAATAATTACGTAAATTCACTTCAGACCTGATCCTGCAACCTTTAACCATGCAGTGACATTCTCTGCCCAGCAGCAGCCCCAAATTTACACTTTGCAGAATCACATCCTTACTGAGGCAGAGATTGCCAAATAGCTGTTAGTGAGGGAAGCGCCACGTGTGCCAATTCTAGAAACCAGGAAGGCAGTACACTCTGCCCTATATTTTCAGGCTTTTTGGTACCTTACATAACTAGGTGCAAAATACTTATTTTTATTTCTGGTTCTTTTCTTTGGAAGTGCAGTCATGTGCAATCAGGTGGAATAAGTGTGCTGATAATTTTCCTTCAGAAATTGTAATGGTTAGCGATGTGGACACTTTTCTTTTTAGGCAGAAACCATGAGGCATTGAAGCAAGCATTCACTTTTCTTGCACTTGAGGTCACAAATTTATGCAAGTCAAAAATGTTGAGCCTGCCAAAAACATCATGCTACACTCCACCAAATAAAAGGACACTGTTATTCTTACAAGGAAAGGTTTGACAGGACAGGAAATAGGCAGGGTCATAGAAGTTTACTTACCAAAACTTATTTAACTATCTTTAAGCCAAAATACAATGTTAGTTATTAAAAAAAAAAAATCAGAAGAGCGGGAAGACAAATACAAGAGCTCCAGACTGTGTTATTACAGGAGTAGCAACCAATACGGAACTAGGTAACTTTAGTAAAAATTTACATAATTCAGGATACTATGTGTCACCTGCCCTTACTGGGTTAACACATACTAAGTAAGTTTGAATTTCTATCCTGAACTTGCAGCCAGAGGCAACTGATTTGGAAAATCCAGTGCAGAGTTTACCAAGCTATACATTAATTTCATTACAATGCAATCCTTAAGTAGATTGCAATCCACTTAAAGGAATGGAGGAAGAAAGAGTAAGAAGAGAGTGAGTATGAAAGATAGGAAAAATGTTGCTGTTCATTACAATTTTCCATTTTTGTTGAAACGCAGCAGGAGAGCAAAGCCACAGGCTTCTCTACTGCTCTTGCATGCCAGGAGGGATTATGCAAACACTGCAACCACCCAAATCTTATTTAAATTATAGTCATTGTTCCCGCTTTAATGGTTATACTTTTGCCTGCTTTCACTCAAATATTGCTGCATCTTGCTTTCCGCCAACACAGTCCCAATGGGAGTCATCAACTCTTAATTATAGATGAACAGATCTTTGAAAAATACCTCTAGAAAAAAAGTGGAAAAGAAAGCAAACTTTAAGTGCCATCTAGTGGCTGATCTAAAAAACACGAAATAGATCAAAAAAAATTCCTAACATGCCACAGAGTAATACAACTGTTGCTGAACTGAAGCATCAGTGCTTAAATGCCACTAAAGACCAGGTTAATACTCTGGGGGAAAGAAAGGGACTAAAGATCAGCAGTATCATTGCCATAATTTTTCTTTTAAGATTGTTGTCCACAAGTGGAGAGTTCAAGCAGTAGGAATTGTATAGGGATCACATGTTCCTTCAAAACTCTCATCAGCTTATGAGCTTCTGCCTTTCTAAGGACATAGAGATTACCCTAAGTATCTCAGTCCAAATCAAAAAATAGAACCCTTTCAGATCCCAAAATAGAACCCAAACCATGGAGTGAATCTGGGGCCAAGCATCAGAACTTTCCTCCAAAGGCACCTGAGTGGGAGGCCAGATTTTTCTCTACATGTGCAACAAGTCATTGTTACATTTCTTAAAGAAAGGAAGCAGACAGTTAGTAATGTCCTTTTCCTTTCCCTGCAGAAGAATGCCATTTTCTGCTGCACACAAGAATTCCCTACAAATTACTTTTCATTTACAAAATCTCCATGTTTCATTTACAGAGGATGTCCCACAAGATCGTTCCCCAAGCTTTAAGTAATTCCTCTTGGAGGCAAGAATAGTTGACAGTCTAAACTTAAATAGCTTTGTCTGACTCTGTTCAGTGATAATGGAGAACATCCCAACATAACTTTTATTTAATGTAATTTTCATTTAGGGTTTTTTTTGCCAATAGCTTTAATAGCTTTACATCTCTTCTGTTTCTTACCTACAGTGAGCCCTGGGGATGACACCTCAGTGGCAGGTTTTGGAGACATGAATCTGTGTACACAGAAGTAAGCCCTGTGCCTTCCAGTGTCCAGTTTCTCCTGAGGTTCCTTGCTAAGGCTGAAGCATGTTCACTCAATGATGCACTAAGGCATTTTTTCACTGAATTACAAAACTAATTAACAACTAGGTAATGTAGGTAGGATAGGTCTCAGATAAACTAATGAACAAGATTGTGTTTCCCAGTCCTCCCTCTCTTTTGCTAATATAAAAATTTTTAAACATTTCGATTTTTGTTTAAAAGAGGAATAAATGTGCTAAAAATTACCATTATAAAGAGGCATGTGTAAACCTTGCTGAGGAGTGAGTCTATCTTCTTCCCCTTGCTCATGTGAGAGGGTGAGTTTTATAAGCAAGAGCAAGGGTAAGTTAAAAACTACCTTCTGTGCCTCCTGTGTATGTTTGCCAGATACCAAGATAATACAGGAAAAAGGGAACATTAAAATAAATAATTTGGAGGATATTGCTTTTCGTATTAATGAAATTGTGGGACATTAAATAAAAAAAGGGTGAAGAGATGTAGAGCTTGGTTTGAACCAGAACGTAGCAAATGCTGTTGTAAGAATTCTCTCCTCACTACCAGGACAAAGTTTCTACAGGTGTCAGTGAAGGCCTTGGTCTGCAGTAGCAGTAGCAACTTAAGAACTTTTACTGCATTGGTAACTCCTGTTGCCTGGTGAGATTTGTGTTCTATAGAACACAAAACCCCCAACACTCAAACAGGAGTTATCAGATTTGTTACCCCAGTGCAATGGTTTGGTGCACAGGGAGGAGTCAGTATAGAGGGGAGCTTAAAACCATTTCTCATTTGAGAGACACTTTCCAAGGTCCTACTGGGGGCCCTGCAGGAATCTAAAACTCATTATATGCTTCTCTAGATAAGTATTGAGAAACAGTGGAAAGGAACTCCACTGTACCAGTTTTCAAAATAAGTGAGCCTTTTTTGGTAATAACACTTAGATATTGGTTTTTATGTTGACAACTTACACCAGCCATGGATATATTTCTTTGTCATGTTTCTGAGCTACTATCTCAGGAGCTGCTTTTTCTAGCAATCTTATCTCAGATTCTGGAGTATTAGTATTATTTTCAAAAATGGAAACTAGATTGGTTTCCGACACAACAAATAATGAGTATCAACAGAACTTCAACTTCTTCCTCACAGGTTGCTGTTCCAAGCAAGATCTTGTAGAATCTTCTAAAAAGGACTTGCCTCAGTGTATCCCCCGCCGGGTTTTTGCTTTGGGAGCTGGGAATAAAAAAGAGCAGCAAAACTTGCTCTTTGACTTACAGTGTGACAGGAGGAAACAGCTTTACATAAAGGATCATAGTTATTTTAAGACCTACAAATAGCCTTTGGTAATTGAAGTTCCTTTTTGGCAGGTTACAGAATGCAAGAAACTTAGTGTCAAGCTCGGCTTTTCCAATTCATTTGAAGGTGCACTGGTGTGATGTGCTCCTTGCTTTGGCCTGGTGAGCCTGCTCAGGAAGGTCTGGGTATACAAAGGCAAGGACAGTGTTGTGATGAGGGGTAGGGAACAACAGCAACAAAGACAATAAGCTTATCATGCACATGGGAGGGAAAGACTTTACCCCAGACAAAGATGGATGTACTTACTGTTTCAGCACTGCCAAGTCAATGTAATAACTATCCCATGGCCAAAGGAATATGAATGCTCTCATACTACACTTTATTTTGCAGCTCACTGTGGGGGAGGGTGGGATAAAATATACAAAATGTAAAATATTTTGGGCTTATTTCACTGAAAATAGTTAGTTCTAGACAAGGACAGTACTAATACCAGTAGGATTATTCTAATCTGAGACTACCAAGAGGAATGAACATCTTAAATCTACAAAAGGCCCATCTCTCCACTGCTGAAGCACTACTTAAAGCACAGTATTTCGTACCTGTGACCTTTCAGCCAAGAAAATCTAAAAAGAACACTGACAGCTGCAGGAAAAAAATGTTTGAGAGCCTTACAGCCTTTTTCTAATTCTTATGTAAACTGGAAAAAGTCATTATTTTTTCCTTTTTTGTTTCTGCTCTCCTGTGCATGTTCTTTCACCTAAAAGGTTTTGAGGCATTTCAGAGATTCCCACACTTATGGAATCAGGTTCAGGACAGGTTCCAAAGAGTCCTCTGTTAAATGGACAAAATCGAACTGAAAAGAACAATTTGTGCACTGCTTCAATAATTCATACAGTAACATATTAATAGATTTGTCAACAAATATTTCAACAGCATATTTCATAGCACTTACTATACAGAAGTTATTTCCAGACGAGTTGTTATTTAGCTCAAACGTTGTATTGTTTGCTCTTAATATAAGAGAGTGGAAAAATGGGCTGCTTGAAGATCAGCTAAGGATCAAAATCAGAATTTTAGCTTTGAACAGAAACACAAGTATTTGGACAGGTTGTAGAAGATGCAATATTAATATCTTTGCCTTTTTCAGGGGTCAGAGTGGGAAGTCGTATCGAAATGTATGAAATGGGCTCTCAGTATGAAAACCTGAACCACGTGGAGGATGGATTTCAGAAGATTAACGCAAACTGGCAAAATTGGTCCTTTTAGTTTAGGTGAGTAAAATCAAATTGTGAAGTTATTTTTTAATTTATTAGAGTATAATCAACACATAAAACAACACATTCTTATTGTTGAGGACCAAACATCAACTGGTCAGCCAAGCCAGTCGTGCACATTTCCCCATTATGCAAATTCACTGCCTGTAAAAATAGACAGGAGGATACAGAGAAGCTGGAATAAAACTGGAAGTGTTCTTATGCAGTCCTAAAATCCCACTTCTAATTCAAATGAAAATTTAGAAACAGTGTAACAAAAAAAAAATATAAAGCATATTCAAGTAATTTTCAGTTCTTCCCAGTAGAACCAAAGCCACCTTCACCACGTTCTGTATCATCCAGAGCCTGAAAGACATCAGTTAGGATAAGCTGGTTTAGTGCCTTTACCTGCTTTTTGTTTCTATACAATAGATATTCTCTACCATGGAGAAAGGTACATTTACATTTAACAAGAGCTATAACTAAGAAACCAAAACATTTTTATGAGACACTTTGGAATACTTTTTGCACAAGTTTAAACAAATGCCACATTGTGAGACAACCATTTCTAGTACAGACTGAAGTATTTCTCAAGTACCTGTTAACTCTGAAAACTACACACCAAAAAAAAAATCCACCTGGGGGTGAGCAAAGAACCAAAACTGCTGCTATGCAGTTTTAACACTGAAAGTAATTTTAGCAAAGTATTTATCTATATCATAAATTTCATCTTATATACAAATATCTTAAACTATTAATCATGGAAAATACAAGAAATATTTTCTTTTGGCAACTTACTTCAACTTCTTCTAGCTCAGGATAATAAATGCGTTCACAGATGAGCTGGGCAATTCTATCCCCTTTTTTAACTGCAATGAAGTTAAAATATTATTAGTTCCTTCAAAAACAGTGAATCATCAATCCAGAGTTTAGACAATCTCCTTTCAAGAGTATCAGAACATAATAAAAGCGAAAGCACTTATTTGAAACTTAGTTAAGCAGATGTTGACAGCCCCAGAAAAGTACAGGTAAAGATAAACTTGTGCTTAGCCCTTTTAAGGTGAAGTATCAGCAGCTGGATCAGCTCAAGACACTTCCATTCATTCCTGCTGCCATCCTCTGGCATCTTAAGTGTCATTTAAGCATAAGTAGTGCAGAGATGGAGAGACAGCTGTATGTATAATGTGGTTCCTTTTGTGAACTAGGCCCAGGAATCTGGGGGGAAAAATCTGAATTGATAAAAGGAAAACAGGATTTCTCACTAGTACCCAAGCTGGTTCATTGAACTTCCCTAAGAAGCCTGTGCTGTGAAGATGCAGAAGAGGCTGCACTGGCAATATTTTAACTGGGCACTGAGGCTTAAAACTGATGAAGCTTAATACAATCTGCACTTCAGTACAGATTGTGACTCTAAAGCTTAGCTAAGTAGGGGTTTTTTTGGTTTGGTTTTGTGGTGGTGGGATGTTTCTGGGGATAGGTTTTTTTGCATGCTGCTTAATTTGCTATGAGTGGAATCTGTTTGCATTCCCTTGACATGACATTATTAAGTATCCATGTTTTTGTTAATTGAAAAAAGAAAAATGTTCTTAGCTCATTCTAACTCTGCAGAAACTTTTAAAGAAAAAGTTAGTTTCTCATTCCCAGTCAGATGGCTGAAAACAGGGTGTGCCAAGCTCAGCAATTACCTTCAAAAGTCTCCTTGCCAAAGTTGAAGAGTACTACACCAACATTTCCCCTGTAATCCTCATCAATAACCCCAGCTGTCAGGAGAAAGAATTTAGAGGGATATCCAGTTAATAAATGTCAGTATATTAGATTGCTAGATTAGATAATGTTTAGGTTTATAAATCATCACAGCATCTCATACTGACATCCTTTATACTACTCATGCACAATCAAACAATATATATGCAAATACCAAGACTCTAAAAATGCTAATCAGTCTTGCAAAAAGAACTGAAAAACACCATCACACGTCAGGAAGTGTTTTACCACTGTACTACTAATTTTAGTTGTAATGTCCCATCTGAAATCAAGACAGCTGGACCAACTTCATGCTCCATTTGTTCTGCTAACTTCAGCTCTTTGAGTGTCGAGCAGAAATCTGTTGTTAACTTTAACATTTCCTCTGAGAGCTATGGATTTGCACAGATCCAAATCTCGTACCTCTGGCAGGGTAACAGAACTGGAGCTCTAAGAAACTGATTGTCATTCTGCTATATTTAAGTATCAAGACTGAAAACTGGCTTGCTCTTATATTTTGTATAACTGTATTAACTAAATAGTTCAGAAGATTATCTACCAATGCACATTAATATAATTATATTCTGCTTCTTTGGAGTTTTTCTCTCTGATACAACATTTCCAGTAGAAAATCTGGAGTTTGGGCCTCCCTGTGGACCCGAGTATGTATTTTGAAATCTACTTATATAAAAAATTCAAATATTAAATTACATGCCATTCCAAGACAATTCCAGATTTATAGAAAGTACAACCCTTAGAGATTATAAACACCGGAGGAAATTGTATTATTGAAGCTTTAATGTTGAACCACAAGATGCACACCTAAGAATAGCAAACTGGTTTTTTAATTAGTTTCTTCAGCTGTGTGAAAAAACTGAAGCACATATGATCCATAGTTACTGTACAGTCTCTGCACTAGTTCCCAAGTTAACTTGCTGGTATTTAACTGATACACAATTGCTTAAAGGGATCCCAATTACAGAGCACTGTCAAAAGTAACAGTGAACAAAACATAGGGGGTGCTGTGCATGCACGTTTTCCAGAAGCAAAAACATTATTCCAGTGCTTTCTATCATCCCTTTCCAATATCATTGCCCTACATTCTCTGTGTAAAAGACTATTTGTATGTTACTTACTTAATTCACTCAGATCTCACACTAGACTGAAAAGATGTTTAGTCAAAATGGAGAAAGCAGAATATAAAAAGTCATCTTTAACACCTTAAAGCAAAAAATAACTTCCATGGCAGGCACTGCCTACAAAACCATGATACGGTTACTGTTTTAAAAAATCAGTAATAACTTTATAATTCAGCAGGTTTAAAAATAATTATGATGCACTGGCTCTCTGAGGTGTTACCCAGTCATCTCCTTTTGCCAGACCACCCATTATTTATTTACACACATTACAATGGGAAATTAAGGAACTTCTGTGATCCGTATTTACAAAGTCTTAATAAAAATAACAAAAGTCTTACCACCAACATCTATGAAGTGCTTTGCAGCTAAACCAGAACGTGGTGCTAGAAAAGAAGAATTTTTTTGTAAGTGTAATAATTTATATCTTTTAAAAGACAATATTTATAGGTTATATAGTCTGTTTGCATAGTTGTGGCAACAAGAACTGCTTCCACAGTCTAAAACAAACATGATTTTACAGGAATTATTGTTAGTTTATATATATATATATATATTAAACAAAATAAAAGCTGCTACTGGCTACAATAAAATTGCAGTTTTTAAGTGATAAAGCATATCTTTGTTTAGACCAACAATTGCAGAGTAGGTTTCTCCAAGGAAGGCAACAGGAACAGACAAAGATTGTCCAATCTTGGTTTATTTTTGGTGACTACCACTGGTTTGGCATAATCTCAAAAGACTATGAGGCCAATCCATTTAAGTTATGATGGAAAACAATATTTGGCAAGCAATTTACTAAGCAGTATTTTAAACAGATAAATTATGTGCAGGGGTTTGGGGTTTTACTTCCTTTAGACTACTTTGATGACACTCTTCAAAATTTTCTTTGGGATAAGAGAAATGCACACATATATTCCTTTTAAATAAAAGGACATGGCAAACTGATCATGCTCTTCCACTGGAGTGGCTATTGCTTTTTTACTTTATGAATTCATAGATAATTCATAAAAAGAATGCACAAAATAAACAGAATATCTCGTAAAGTTCTCCCAAGTATTCTGTCACAAAAAATAGTCAAATTCTACTTCACTGGTATTCTTACTTTGGGGTTAGTTTTTAAACATCCTGGGATGTATTTGTTGTATGTTCATTATGTATTGGTCTTTGTGGTTTCAGAATCTGAATTTGAATTTTGAATGAAACAAAGAAATAATGAGCTATTGCAGAGCCTCTGAAGTTGTATGTAGATTATGACCATTTTTGCTAATCATCTTTTTGTCACTTGACACCAAACTTCGAATGTATTTGACAAGAAATGTCTGCTACAAGGCTTAATAAATCACACAGCCACGCGGCATCTTTTTTGTGTAGACCAATTCTGAAAGCTGAAGATGGTGTCAAACCTGTTCTAGAATGACTCTGCAGCCTTTTTATAGCTTCTTTACTTACCTACTCGGCCATAGCACCCGGAAGGAAGTGCTATTTGAATGTCTGTTTTCACTACTGCCTTTTCCATGGGTGGTATCACACAGTCATAGGCGCTACAGAAAAGAAAGAAACACTGGTTTATAGAGAATATTTTTTAAATTTTCTTCTCTGTAACTTAAGGTAAAAAATTACCAGAACTATTCTGGTTGGGAATTTATAAAATGGAACTTACAGAAAAATATTTACAGATTTGCAAAATCCAACGCAGATCCTAAGATACAAGATGTTCTAATTTTGATAGTGCTAGTTTAAGATTTCGGAAGTGTCATTTGAACAGCACAGTCTTACAACGGGCAATTTTAAATGTTTTTTAACTGGTAAGACAGACACAAAGTACAAGTTTAACTTTAAAGTAACCATTGGGTGAACATGGTTGTGCATTTTTTTGTGCAAAAGCAAACTTAAGGGATAACACACTCTCTGATTAAGCTTTCTACTGCAGATGAACTAACTGTAATTAAAATTAATTATTTATTAAGTTAAATTCTAGGCAACAATGTTCCTGAGCAAACTGACAGTTAACGAGTCACAAGATTCTCCTTGGAACTACAGAGATTTTAAGAACTTGCTGAAAATACCCAACTGGAGGCTTAATGAAAGGCAGTGGTGACAACACTTGTTATATCTTGACCTTGACAAGGAACTGATTTTTAAACACTGGAAGCACTGAAAGGTTTTTTAAAAAACAAGACTTTTTCCAGGTCTACAGTGCACCACGGGAGGACAAAAGGAATACAAAGAAAAAGGGTGCTGAGGCAAATCTTCAGGAAGTCAGAGAGGCGAAGGAAGAAAAACTCAGGCTGATTATTTTAAGTAATAGTAAAAAAGGTAGAAGAGGACACAGTGAAGTTCAGATGTAACTAGTGACTGTACTGGATCCCAGAAGCACTGTGTAAACAACCACAAGCTGCAATTATTCCTGAACATAGCGAAAACCTTTGAACAATGGTTATAAATTCACCCAAACCTAAGTCTGTACATTAACCCACATGGGTTTCCAGCTCAGATCATTATCAAACTGTCACAACCTCCTTTGCCACACCCAGCAAAGGAGAGGAAAGCAGAAAAGCACAAGCGCTGGCAAGGAGGGCCCACGTGCACTACCACTTCTTTTTGTTTCACTAGTGAGGCACACGGCCAATGCAGGCACCAACAGCAATTCTGGATGATGTGTCAAGACTGGCTTTTGGCCAACGACTGCATCGCCCTCTAATGAAATCAGTGATGCAGCACGGCTGGACCACAAATACCTGGGGATGAAGGGCCAAGGATGGAGGAGCAAGGGAGATAACTACCGGGGCAGTTCTGACCTGTGACCTCCTCTCCCCCAAGGCCCGCGAGCCCCCCTCAGCAAGAGGTCACGACAGCCCCTCAGCCGCAGGAGCCCCGCGTCCAGGGCTCGCCGAGTGGGGCGGCATCGCCACCCCCGGGTGCGACACCCCTGGACTGCCACCCTCGGGTGCGGCCCCCTCACCCTCACCTGTACAGATCGTAGCCCGCAGCCCGCGCGGAGCCCCTGGAGGGGGCGAAGGCGTTCTCGGACAGCTTGGTGAAGCGGAGCCGTGTGCTGTGCTCGCCGGGACCCGAGCCCTTCTGCCTCTTGCTGGGGGATGGCTGCGGCACGGCCTCGGAGGCGGGCATGGCTGGGGGACGGGGAGACGCCGTGAGGGGACTGACAGAGCCCGCCAAAACGCGGCACGGCCCACTGCGGGCGGGGACAGGGGGAAAACCGGCCCGTCCGTAGCTTTTCTGTGCGCGGCGCACCTCCGCCACACCCCCACCCCCCCTCCCTGTGATAATGGCCTCGTCCAGGTCCTGCCGCGCGCCCCGCGCTCGCGCGGAGGGTCCCGCCCGCGCGCCAGGCGGGCTCGTCTGTCAGGCCGGGCCGCGGCGGGCGCTCAGCGGGGCAGGGTGTGCTCCCCCCACCTCCCCAGGGCCGCGGGCTGTACAGCGTGTGCTCCCCGCAATCCCCGCCAGGGGCGGGCAGCCTGTGCTAACCCCCGCCCCCCTTACAGCGCCCGCGGGGCTGCAGGAGCAGCCGAAGGTGCCGGCACAACATCGCGCCGCTGCCGTGTGTGGAGCGCCGCCCGCCCGCCCGGCGCTGTCCGCCGCGGTCCGCACCCCGCGTGGGGCGCGGGCGGAGGCAGCGGCGCCCCGTTCTCCCCTCGGCCGGGCTGTACCTGCCAGCGCGGCCCCTCTGGCGGCGGCCCGGCCCGCGGCGCTGGGCGGGCGCGGCGCTGGCGGTGCCGCGGGGCGGGCGGGCGGACCCCGCGGCGCGCGCGGCGTTGCCGGGGGACGCGATTGCGGCTGCACGCGCGGGCGGGGCCGGGCTGCGCCCTCAGGGGGGCGGCGGGGCCGCTCCCCGGTACCGAACCCCCGGCGGGGACACAGCGCCTGGGCCACGGGGCGGTCGGGCCTGGAAGGGGCATCTCGAGATCATCCAGTCTAATCCTACTCTTAAAGCAGAGTCACTTAGAGCAGGTTGCACAGGATAGAGGGAGAAGGAGGCTCCTCCTTCAGGAATGGTCAGGCCACGAGAGAAGCGCTTACCTTATGAAAGGGAAACAACCCTTGTCGGTGCTGTAGAGAGGAAAACCTATCAGTGCTCGGCCCGTCCTTTTCTATTCTTGTTCTTTTGTCGTTGCAGAAGACTCGTGATTTCACGGTCTTTGATTTTCCTACTCACTGCCCTCTTTTGCTATCCCATCTATGATGTACTTTACCCTTCTATTTTTCCTACGTTTATATCTATATCTGTAGGATATATATATATTATATAGGACTAGGGAATTCCCTAAATTCCCCCATAGGTCTGTGTGCTGTGGGCTAAGACTCTTATCCACTGGATTCGTAGTTTCAAAGCTGTCCCTGACAAGTGTGGTGGAGGTATTTGTCTCTCTGCAAAATAGCTGCAGAGTGTTGGAGTTCTCTTTGCTAGTCTAAATTTTGTCAACTTTTATTCGTGGTTTTTTTAAAAAAAATTGAGATCTAAGTGTATGTGATTGTCTCCTTGCTATGTTACATTTTTTAAGTGCAGCCAGATGGCAGTGAAACCTTTGCTATGCAGTTCAGTTACAAAAAATTATTTTGAAGCATGTCCCAGTTTGTGCTTCCGTTTATTTCTGTTCAGTGTTTTCAGTCTAAATAATATGAGGTGTTTGAATGAGAATGCATATGTATCACAGATCTGTGTGAAAACACTACTTAAAATATGGCTTCTGATGTAAGCCATCCACAAATTGAAGTTTATAAGAATTGTATCAAGTGAATATCTAATTATGAATTTTTTTTTTTATATAAGCAGAACTTTATAGAAGTTACAACTGCATCCTGCATTATAGTGCAGAAAAATTTTATGAATGGCCAGGCTTGATGAGGCAGACTGGGTTCTAAACTGTGCTTAAGGTAGCTTGGAAGTCCTTGAATAATAGATAGGAGGACTCATCCAAAAATATTATTAAGGAGAAAGGTCTCAGCTGAGTGACACTTTTTCACCCCACGTCTTTACAAGAAAAAAAACACAAAACAAAACAAAAAAACTGCTTGGAGTCTGGGCAAGTTTGCCTTGGTCCTGGGAGCGTGTTGCTTGCTCTGTAGATGGTCAGTTGGCCAACCTTCCTGCATTCTTGGTTGCTGATTAGTCCTGCTCTGCGTTGGGCATTTCTTCCTGACTTTGGAAGATAAAGCTGAAATAAACTGGAATTATTTACCTTTTTATCTCGATTGACAGCAGGAGTGGAGGCTGCTTTGTTGTCCACAGAAAGAAACACAGAGCTTCTTTCAGAGCTAATAAAAAAAATTCTCTCCGATGAAGTTTTGGTGTTAAAATGAGCATTTTTATTAGGAGAAAACTATTGCTTTAAGTGAGGTGTTTCCCAGCCCACTCTCACTTAGAACAGCTGTCTCTCTCACAGTGATTAAGGTTTGTCATTTTAAAGGCTGTTATGATGAGTGTGTTTACAATGAAGCTCTATTTTTGATTGCGTGTTTTGCTGTACAGTGTGGGGGCTGTGGAATTTTGCCATTGCTTTTTACTGCATTCCAGACAACCTTAGCGTTTTATTGTGTTTGAAACTGAATTTCCTCTGATGAAATTCCAGCAGCGGCATGACTGTGGGCTGTTGCCCTTGTTATTTGTGGAGAATGTGAACTACAGCTCCCTGTATCTGTTTGTTGTTTCCATTTTGCTTTGCAGAGTCAAGGCCGGTGTGAGATGTTCCCTCAGCAGCGCTGGCCACACAGTCGTGATGGGTCACACAGCTGCCAGGGGGCTGGGTCAGCCAGGCACCAGCATCAACACGTGTCTAAAACGGTGGCCTGATGTCTGCTGAGGCACACTGTGACAAAACCTTGACTTCCTCATCTATAACTCATTTAGCAAAGAGCTGCAGCACTTCAAGGGTTCACTGACCTTCTGCCAAAAGTTGCAAAGAGGTAGCAAGGGAGAGAGAGCAAGAGGTAGCAAGAGTGTGGAGTGATCCACACTCACTTCACTGTAGTCCAGTGGCAGACAAACAACCAGAAGCAGAAGCCTGAGGGAGATCCCTGAACTTCAAGTTGAAAAGGCTGAGGGTCACTCAAATTCTGTTTTCCCAGCTTTGCTGATAAGTCAGGGACCTCTACCTGAGGGGAGGTGACAAACAGGTGAGGGGAGTTAAATCAGTCAGTTACAGCTAAAACTCTGCAGCTGTTTGCCCTCGTCTACAACTTCAGTGCTAATTCACATTACCTGTTGCCATATCTCTTGCTTGTAAACTGCTCATCAGTTGCTGAGACTGCTTTTGCCGTGAGGATCTTGAAATACCACATGGAATCATAGAAGAAGAGGGAAAAGATGATGAATGTCCAGGTTTTCTGAGAATTAAGGGCAGCCTGTTATATTTTGTTTATCCAGGAAGGCTTTTGATAGGACTCTTCAAAGATATAATGAAAATTGCAGAGGTTTAAGGCTGGTGAAAATTACTGTGCATGTGGCTGGAGCTTTGTACCTTGTGATTATGATGATTAAGTGGGAACTCCTTTGTGTGTGAAGTGTGATAGCAGCATGTTCTTTGCAGTGTGACTTGCATAGCTGCAGTTTATCTTCACAGTGGAGTGCCTTTTTGGTTAGAAAACTTTTCTGCTTGCACTGTTGAGTAGCTGATTTAAAATTAAATAAACACCCCCACAAAAGTAATCTCTGTTGGGGACTGAAAAATCTAGTGAAAGGCACATTGGAAGAATGATGTTCTGGACAGCATAATCTGGACTATGCTCTAGGAGTTACGTGATCAAGCTGAACAGTTTACCAGTGGTTGTAAAAATGTTTAAGGAAAGCATAGTTTCTGAACTGTGATGAAATGCCTTCTGTGATACCTGTCAGAGCTGCACTGACGTTAGGAGGGAAAGGTAAGATTCACTGATGAGAGAGACAATAGTGGATCACTTTAACAGGCCCCTAACTGTGCAGGATGCCTGGACTTTTGAAGAAAATTAAAAATATTCTTTATTCTTGCTTCATAGCAACAGTATTTTCACACTTTAATGTCCCTGGTCACCTTATCTATGCTTACTTTTGTTGTGGCTGATCAAATCAACCCTAAATTATATAAACCTACAGAGCTGGTAGTGTGATATAAGCTCAAAATGTACTAGACAGCATTAGAGTTGTATGTTTTCTAGAGATGTCAAATGTGTAATTAGAATTTAGTTACTAACATGATGATTAAAATTCAGCACTTGTTTTATGCGTAATTTATATAGAAGTGTTGGTTACAGAGTGAGAAATGAGGTAGGTGGACTAACAAAATTTTGCAATCAAAGTTGCAATTTAAGATAGTCCGTAATTAGTGTGCTCTCCAAATTGGTCATGCACACACTTCAGGAATCATAGTGAGGAACAAGAAATGCTGCTGTGTTTAAATTACTTGTGAATTTGTGGAAATAATACTTTCAGGTAGTTAAGAACTGTTACATTCACAGTTTGTGCTACTCATTATAAATCCCATAACACTGTTGTGTGGATACATCTTGTAATTAATCACTGTAGTTCAAGCAAGGAATTTTAGAGGAATGTTTATGTTAGTACTTAGTTTTTGATGACTGTTCACTTAGAAAAGTACCTCTTAGGATTTATTGTTGCAATCCCCACATCACTGTGTTTGTGAGAGAAAAGTATGAATAGTATTGAAAGTGCCATTGCTGGTTTATTTTGTGCTCGTTCTCTTTTTGGATCTGCTTAGGTCCCCCAAAACAGTTTAAGTCAATGTTCCCTGTAGATTGAGAACGACAGTACTTGGGAATACTTAGGAAACAATCTCCTCTCATGTACATAATTAAATGGCTTAATAGAGGTGTGTAATTCCTCCAGGTCCTTTCATAGACTGTGGTAAGAAACACACAAAAGGCCTAAGTGGAGCCTCCCTAAAAGTTCTTTTCTTTGCATTGCCTGGGTGCCACATGCAGATTAGACCTGTGTGGTGTCTGCAGTGAGATGAAAAGGATGGTGGCCATTGCAATTCTACAAAGCTGGAAGGACCTGAGAGCATGTGACAAGCTGCAGTATCACTGCCAACGTCACTGTGAGGGATGAGAATAATCTCCTTTTTTGCAGGTGCAGAATGAGAGCTTTGGTTTGCTCAGAGCTGTGCAGGAAGTCTGGTGTATGGAGGAAACTCATATATCTGTGTAATGCACTTAAACTGCAAAATGATCCTTCAGCTTGGTTGTAAATGTGTAAGAAGGAGCGAAGGAAGAACATTATGAGAAAATATCAGTATTTCATATCCTGCCTTTAATAGATGGAGAAAATAAAGCATGGATTACTGGGCTACATTACCATGTTCTGCTGAATTGCTGCTGTTGAACTCAGAAAAATATGAATATCAAATATTTGTCATTTTTGGAGATGCAGTGCTAGATCTTCCCCCAAGTTAAATTCTAATAATTCAAGCAAGATGGAAGCTGAGGCTGCTTTAAAATATACATTTAGTGAAATTCAGGGTTCCCTGGCTTTCATGAGGTTTAGATGTCAGTTAATCTCTGTCAAGGATTTGCAGAACTACAGAAAATAAATTAACCATGTTCCTTGGTGGTCTTTAATTTAAT